AGAGCACAGACTAGCTATCTTTCTAACTAGCTTTTCTTTTCTTTTAACTTTCATTTTATTTATTCTATGTGTCTTTTATATCATATATCTTGATTCCATTCACTTCCCTATCCCTTCACACCCACCCTCCCCTCTCTGCACCACCCCCCCAGTAAAATTTAAGAGAAAAAGGGGGAAAAATTTTAAATCTTATCATGGAAGCTGTGGTGTGACACAGTGAGTCACACAGTAAACCCTTTTGTCCATGTATCTTTACTTGCAAGTGTTCATTGCAAAGAGTCATTGGTCTGGTTTGAGGCCTTTGGTTTCTACTGCACTATCAATGCTGGACCCTCACTAGGGCTCTTCTGGATATCCTGTTGTTGCCTTTTGTTGTGGAGATCCTGCAGATTTGGGTCTTTGGGTTAGGTTCCTTCACATGCTCAGACAGGTCATAGATGGGATGGATGTTGGGGTAGGTCAAGTCATAACCTGGTTCTGGGCCTAGGCAGCTGCAGGGTTGGTCAGCCTGACAGTTCTCCTCTGTCCTCAACTACCCAGGTGAGCTCTCCAGCATTGCCCTGACTAGTTCACCTCTTGCAGCAATGAGTGAGGGGTGGGGTCAATTCTCCTGCTTTCACGCCTTCAGGGTCAGCTCTATTGTGTTGGTTCAGAGGCCACTCTCCTGAGTGCTGCAGCTGGTAGAGGCAGGGACAGCCTTCCCACTCTTTTGACCCAGGGACAGCTCCTCCACCTGTCTCAGATGTTGATGGGCAGTGGGGGTGGGGGGCTTCTCTCCTCTACTCATGCTGTCATATGTCAGATGAGTAATGGCGACAGCTCTTTGCTCACAACCTCAGGGCTGGGTCAACCTTACCTCCGACCACTGTGCAGCTCTGCTGTGCTGTCTAGGTGAGGAACAGGGCACACTTTCCTGAGTGCTGCAGCCAGTGAGGAGGAGGGTCAGCTCTCTCATCTGTTGCAGGTGGTAAGGGGTGAGAGGTAAGGGAGGATATCTCTCGACCAAACACACCAATGAATGACAGATGAATGGGGACAGCTCTCCCATATTTCAAACTTTGGAGCTAGTTCAACCACACCTCTGTCAACAGGGTTGGCTCTATTGTGTTACCCAGGTGAGGTGCAGGGCCTGCTCTCCCAAGTGTCATAGCTGGTGGGGCTCAGGGATGACTCTCCCACTCTTAAGACCTACAGGCCAGTTCTCCCACCTGCTTCAGGCATTGATGGGGGAGGAGGAAAGGGCATGCCTCTCTAGTCCATGCTGCCGTATGGCAGATCAGTAATGGGACAGTTCTCCCAAGTTCACAGTTTGGGGGCTGGCTCACCCACACCTCTGCTAACAGGGTTGGCTCTATTGCACTATCCTGACAAGATACAGGGCCTGCTCTCTTGAGTGTTGCAGCTGGTGGGAGTCAAGGACAGCTCTGCAGAACTTATGACCACAGGGCCACCTCTTCCACCTGCCTAAGGCATTGACAGGTAGTGGGGGAAGGGCATCTCTCCCCAGCCCATGCTACCATATGGCAGATGAGGGGTGGGACTAAGTCTTTTGCACTCACTACTTTGGGGCTGGCTCACCCACACCTCTGCCAACAAGGTTGACTCTATTGTGTTGCCCAGGCAAGGTCCAGGACCTGCTCTTCTTCTCTAGTGACCACAGAGCCAGCTCTCCCACCTGCCTCAGGTGTTGGTGGGAGGAGGGAAGGGAGAGCATCTTTTCCCTGCCCATGCCACCACAGGACAGATGAGAAATGGGGACAGTTTTCCCATACTCATAACTTTGGGGGTGGCTTACCCACACCTCCATCAGCAGGATTGGCTCTGTAGAGGTGCAGGGCCTGTTCTCCCCAGAGGTGCTGCTGGAATGTGTCAGGGACAGCACTCCCCGCTCTTATGACCACAGAGATAGCTCTCCCACCTGCCTCAGGTGTTGATGGCTTTTCTTATTTGCACGCAGAGGCCTCCATAGTCAACTGTTACCTCCTCAAGGTATCCATTCATGGGTGGTATTGAAGATATCAGAAAGCACACTCACAGAGTAGTATTACCTCATAGTTTTGCTATTAGGATCTTAGGCTTTCCCTCAAGTCCATCTAGGTAGCATTTAGACATGAGGGAATAGAAAATGCTCTGTTAAGCTTTGGAATTTAGTTCAACTTTTAGATGAGAAATCCTCTAATCATTAATCTTGGAAGTTTGTCAGCTGGATTTTATTGTACCCTCAAAACCACAGAGGGAAACATGAGACATTTGTTCATATTTTTTTTATGGGATCACAGTGTGTAGCCCAGACCAGCCTGGAACTCACTATGCGGCCAGGGCTGACCTCTAGAAATGCCCATGGAAATCCCCCTGAATTGCTCTCTCCTGCCTTGCATACTGGGGCTATAGACATGAGCCATCACAGCTGGTTTAGGATTAACTGAGAGTTCCATATATAATTGAAAGTTTTTTCTCATGTCACATTATTATCTTATAATTTAAAGCTCACTTGGACATTTTATATCAAAAGACAACTATCTTTTGAGTGACATTAAAAATTATCCCAAGAACAAGTGCCCAGTTTATTCCTTCTTTGTGCTATCTTTAGGTCCCCAGTCCCCCAACTCCCATTTATATTAAAAAGTATTTGTACCTGTTTTTCAAAAAACATTTTTGTACCCTACATGAATGAAATTGTGGTATATAGATTTTATTTTATTTATATTTAATTTAATTAACTTCTTTCAGGCAAGAGTCTAAACAGCCCAGGATGTTGACAAATGTATGCTTCTCCTGCCTCAGCCTCCCAAGTGCTGGTATCACAGACATGTGCCATCACACCTGCCTCCTTATTGTTTTTTTTAATGTCTATAGGGTCTGCACTGATACTTGCGTTTTTATCCCTTATATTGATAAGAATTAACCCAGTTAAAATTATTGTTTAGTTAACTTATAATCCAAACACCCTGGTATGACATCTCAATTGTTGATGTATTGTATTTACTTTCAGATTATTATATTATCCATATCTTATATGCTGTTTAGTTTTATGGCAATTTGACACAGTCTAGAACAGTGGTTCTCAATCTGTGGGTCATGACCATCAGAAAACACATATTTCCAATGGTCTTAGGAACCCCCAACTCTAACTGCTGCTTTCTAACTGTAATTTTGCTACTGAGTGATTTCTCAGCTCCTAAGAACTGAGAATGGGGCCATCCACTGAAGCATGGCCAACCTACTAAGGGCCGTACCCTTAAAAAAAACCCTACTCTTCCTCCTCCAGAAGCAAGCATCTGTCAATAGCTCTTTTGTTGGCGTGGGGTTCACAAGCCTCTTCCTCCTCTGTGCTGGAGTGATGACAGGCTTGATCTGAGGACGGCACAGCTGCTGTGAGCTCCTGAGTGCGGCGGTCCTGTTGTGTGCAGAAGACACTGTTCCACTCTGCTCTTCCGCAGCCTGACTCTTACAGTCTTTACATCTTCTCTTCCGCAATGGTCCTGGAGCCCCATTTGTGCCTGAGTTCTCCATGTACACTCATTCTCTGCACTTTGACCAGTTGTTTCTGCATTAATTGCCAATCACTACACAAAGAAACTTCCCTGATAAGATTTGTGAGCTGTACTAATCTATGGGCATAGAGATATGAATTAAAAAACAGTTTGGTGCTATGTCCATTTAGCAAAATAATAGTAGTAGGTTCACTTCTGGGGCTTATGAGTTTCCTAACCATGGCTTGTTGGACAGATTCATAATACTAGGTATGTGTGGAGTGAGCCTTAAAACTAAACAGGGAGTGGCTGGTTATTCCCATAACTAACATTCATGTCACTGTTGCATGCACAGGCATATTGTAGGTCCCAGGGTTAAGGGCTGAATTAGACTACTATTGGCTTTTTTTTTTTTTTTTTTTCTTGAATCCCCAACAGTCTGCAGGACTATGAAAGCTAGCCATCAGGGAGGAAGCTTGCTAGTCAGTACCAACTTGATTTCTCCTTGCCTTGTGACCAAAGTGTGTGGTTTTTCAGCAACAATATCTTATAATCAAGTTCTGGTGGGCAACCAAAAATAATGGTTAGTATCGTTTTGTGGTTTCTTGGACACCTCTGATTTGAGGGAAGGTATCCTACATTTTGCACTCAGATAGGAAGGCAGGCCAGAGGAGTGGGTTAGGCAGGGGTAAGTAATACTAAGTTTGTTTGAAAATTCATATAGAAACCTATTACTTTATCATGTTCAAATATACATACATACATATATTACATACACACTCTAATTTGCCTTGAGAGTTCTCTTTGATGCAAAGGGCACTTAGAAGTATGTTCTGATCTGGGCATGGTGGTTCAAACCTGTAATCCTAGGAGATTGAGGTAAGAAAAATACTGTAAGCTCAGGGCCAGCCTCAGACTACATAGTGAGTTCTAGGTCAGCCTGGGCTACAGGATGAGATCCTGTCTCAAAAAATGAAGACAAAACAAAATTAAAGAACAAAAACAAAGACAAAAAACAACCCAAAAACTAACTAACCAACAAATCAAAGAACTGTATTTGGTAATTTGATTTAGTATCTTTTTGAGCTCAAACATTGAGGTTATTGTGGAGATACTTTGGTGAGAAGGTATTTGAGTTTACATATCACAAGTTGCTAGATTTTTCATAATAAGTGAGGCAATGTGATCTTGTGTCTTTGTGTGAGTTTGTTTTTTTGTTTTGTTTTTTGTTTTTGTTTTGGTTGTGGTTTTTGGAGACAGGATTTCTCTGTGTAGTTTTGGTTCCTCTCCTGGATGTCCTGGTCTACAGAGCACTGTAGACCAGGCTGGCCTCAAACTCACAAGAAATCCACCTGGCTCTGCCTCCTGAGTGCTGGGATTAAAGACGTGAGCCACCACCGCCCAGTCTTTTGTGTGAATTTGAAGTGATACCTTCAGCTAATTCTTTATGCTCCTGGGCCTAGCAGTAGGTTTTGAAAGCAGGTTTTGCAATTTACCTTAGCAATGTCTTCTCTTTCTTCTTTTTAGCAAAATTCCATTTGGCAGAACCGGATCCTGAAAAATTCAAGATGCTAAGCCCCTACACCGCTTTAAGAATTCAGGACTCAAATATGAAAAGAAAATCAGGAATAAGACCCTGGGAACATGAATATCCCTGCAGAAAAACACCAAAGGACCATTCCATTTCCTGTAATGCTGTGGTCTGATGGGGTAGTAGGTATTGTGGGATTGGGGAATGCTCGTGATTGGCACACACCTGTGCCTCCCCCATGGAGAGAGGTCCATTGATTTTCTTGCTTCCTACCATGTCTTGGCTTGCTTTGGGAACAGGCTGGCCCAGCATCATCTGTCCTCAAGTCTCTTGTGGTGTTTTCTTTGTGCCCATGATCAGTCTCCAGCACATCCCTGATGTCCATGTTGTCTCCATCACTGAGTCACAAGGCAGGGCTGGTGTTAGGCAACTAACAGTACCATATTGTATGAAACTTTGCATCTTGTAAATTTTCTCCTTTTTTCTAAAAATAAATAATAATAAAACTGCAAATCTCAACATACTACTTTATTGTTAGACAAATTCTGCTGTGTTGGTTTAATGATGTTGTCTGTAGAAATGTGATATGTCTAAACCCACCATATGTATCCATACTTCATTTCAGATAGGCCTTGCAAGCGTTCTCCCATGAGTGGTTCACATAGGCCTCTGGCTGCAGAGTGAGAGGCTGTGTCTGGGGTACTTTCTGACTGATGGCATTCTACTTGGAGAAGTGGTGGCAGGAAGGAGGTTACAGATGGGCTGGGGGTCCATCTTCAGTATGGCCAGAGCATTTGGATTGAGAATAGAGGCACCTGCTCCACCTGGGAAGTGGGACAAGGCCTCCCACATTGGCTGCACAGAAGCCCTTGTCCAGCAGCTGCCCTGTTGTGTGTACATCCAAGCCACTACACCAAGTCATGTGAAGAAAGAACCACATGCTGTCAGAGGAGTTAGCCGACGAGTGCACATATATAGCAGTCATTTTAAACTCTATTTAATGTTGAGAAATACTGTTATTGCTGATGGTAAACAGTGTTATTAGCTCTTAAAATATATCTTGTCTCGCCCCCCCCTTTGCATTTTGGTAATGCTGATACTGTCTACCCATGACCTTTATAATGACTTGAGTCCCTTTGGTCTGACCCACTTGTCTCCTTCAAGTGAAAACATTAGGAAGTATGGGGGAAAAAAAAAACCTCAAATGGCATTTAAAACCCACCTTCAAGTTACTTGGAATATACAGTTAGGAAAAGGATTTGCTACCTAGTGAAATCTGTCTTTGTTCTGAACCAGTACAGACATCTGACAAAATGTATGATAGTTTAACATCCACATTTGAGGTTGAAAACTTCGCACCCCAGTGCAGATCCAGGTCAGTTTCCCCAGCTCATGGACAGTGAGGTCCATAAAGCTCCCACCCCAACTCCATCTGCTTTACCAAAGGAGGGTTTGACATGAATGCATGTAATAAAATCCCCTTTTTACATGCATCGCTGAGAAGATTTGTCATGTAGTTTTCCTGCCACCCCAGTTTATCAGCACCAATTAATGCTCGCCAAACAGCTGCAGCCTGTCCTTGGAGTCAGCGGAGATGAGGATTGAATAGTAATAACTAAGAGCTCGATGTTTGGACAGTGCTAAAAAGACATACTCTCCTTGTCCACAGCTCTGTTTCTGGACCCCATTTGACAGGGGCTTAGGCCATCTGGAGCATGAGCAGCAGAGACTGGCCAAGCGACTGAAGTGGCTGATGAGGAAGAGAGCTGGAAGAGCTGAGGCTCTTTAACCTGGGGGACAATATTTGTGAGAATTTGAAAGATGGAGGGGAGACCCTGGGCCAGCCATAATGAGAGGAACAGTGGGTATAAGTTGCATTAACTGGAGGCTGGCTTTCTAACAAAGTAATTCCAAAGTGGATTGTAATGGTGGGAGCTTCTGTCGTCTGAGCAGAAAACCCGAACCTACTTACGTGAAGGGAGATCTCCTGTTTCAAGTAATTGGCTTAAAAATCCCCTTTATAAAATGCAGGGCATATGATGACTATGAGAAAAATGTAGCATTGGATGGAAGGAAGTATTTCCACTATCATGAAGATTATTTTCAGCTCCTGGGATCAGAGAGGCAGTGAACCCTCTCCAGAGTGGCTTGGGAAGGTCCAGTGTAGCAGGCCACCGTGATGAGACACAATGTGAGGTCAAGAAGAAACCCCAGAACAGCCGAGGATCCACCAAAAGCAAAGCACCAGTTTCCACTCATTAAAACCCTCCTTTGAAAGAGAGGTTGTTTCCAGGTCTGTCTGTGGGAGTAAAGGCTAAAATTAGATTTTGGGTGCAGTTCTGTTTGCATAGGTTAAACCCTTCTGTCTTTACATCCTTTCTAGCATCTCTGCTTACTTATAAAGCTTGCTGTTTACTGTCTGTTAAAACATCTTTTGTGTGGGGATGGGAGAGGAGAGCCATACCATGTATGGCTTTTTTGAGAAGCCTTGGCAGATCTTAGGCCCAGTTCTTTAAACAGAGCAGTGTGCCGACAATGCTAGGAAGCAAGATCCGTTTAATCTTGCCTTTTGTGGTTTACTTTATAGCAGAACAAGCACTTGTGGCTACACAAAACATAGACCAAATAAAGGCATCCTCTGAGGCTGGATGCTCCACAGCCTCTCCTCGTGGTTGGTGGTCCTGGGGAGGGAGGCAGGGCAGCTCTACCATGCCGCATTGAGAGGATGGAGGGAGCTGTGCTGATGGATGGATGCAGACAAAACTTGATATCCATTGATTTGATCATAAGGAACAAACATACCCACCAGTACTCCACTCCTTTTGACCCACTGTCGTTTTAGTAACTCAGAACCCAGAAAGATGGCCTTGGCTGTTATTAATTGGTCATTGCCCGCCCTCTTCAGCCAGGCACTGCCAGAATTCTTTGTAAACTCATTGCTGATTGGAGTCCTTTTAAATTAGAGCAGAACAACCTTGTATCACAAACTGGGCAAGCTTCAAGTCAGGCCTCTCTCCACTGTATTAGGAGAGACGAGGGAGACTGCCGTTTGAGGGAAGCCAGCCTTCTTAAGTGCTGCCGAGTTTTCATTCTCTCCTGAGGTCCAGACAGCAGTGCATTTAATTTTGGAGCTCCTAAAAACCAGCCCTAACTGCCCATTAAGAAATTATCTGATACTGTGGTATTTTAAACTGCCGAATCTAAATTAACAGATTGCTTTAGGATAATGTGTTTGATAGCTATAGGGCTTCACAACCTGTTTTAATTCTTTACCAGGAGTGAGTAAGCATCAAGACTCCGTCCTGGACCAGAAAGTAGTCTGGGATGGTCCCCTGAAGGAGCTTCAGCTGACAGCCCTTCTTTAGGAGAAGATGGCTCAGGCTTCAATACAAAAGGGCCTCTTCCTAGCGGGGAATGAGAGCTCTGTAGGAAGAGGTAGATGGCCAGACAGTCACGGTGGGTGAGGGAGGAGGATTAAGTGCAAGTATAATGGTCTCAAAGTGACAGGAAGGGTGTTCAGACAGCTGCCAGCAGGTTGGTAGAACTGGGTGTGGACGCACAGAGGGCTAAGGACCTCTAGACCTTAGAGTAGTGAGGCCTGCTCATTCGTAGTTACTCCTGTCGATGTCCACATGGCTATCTCCTGGTCTTCCCGAGACTGATGTGTTCTGGTATTTCAGCAATGCTTCCTGTAACTGTGATCCTCGAAAGTTGGTTTGTAGCTCTGCCATTGTGTGCCCAAGGCACCTTGATGTGAGCATGTGCATGTTGGTCTCAACAGGCCAAGGGATGGCATAGACCTGGCTACCAGGGAAACCTTGGGATAAGCTCCTGTTCCAGCAGCCAGAGAGAGAGGCCTCCCTCCCTCCTGTGCCAGGTGGAGGCAGTACTTCCCTGTGCAGCGTGGTTGGAAGACTAAACAAGAGGGTACTCCAAGTCCCAGCAGCACCCCGCACGGGTGCATCCCCTGGGTGAGCAGACGCTGTTGCTGTATCTACATCCCGTTCTTGGATAACCTGGAGCCTATAGGTAAGTGAAATCCCCAAACTCATCCCATACAATCACTGCAGTCCTACTGGACACAGCCTGGGGTCTGTTGAACTGTGTCTGCAGTCATGTTGCCCTTCCTCCCAGCTCCATGCCATCTTCAGACCTGTTCTAGTTTTAATTCTTGGCTAAATCCAACACTCAAGAGGGACTGGTTGCCCACAAGAAGTCATCTTTCAGATCAGCAGGTATATTATTTATCTTATCATTTAACCCACATTCCTCCTGCCCCTGTTGTCCATTCCTGCTGAAACCAAGCTATCTTCTATTTTATAGCATTTTAATGATTAACCTAATGATCTCTTCAAAAAATATAGTGTAGCACAAGGTGTTGCTTTATAAACTCATCCTGCCTCCCAATTTACTGAGTTCTTTCTCACAATCTCTCAAACTGTCTGTATAATCATCTACTCTAGAATGTTCTAGGAGCTCATATCCAACTGGGATGTTTGTAGTATCTGCCATCCATTCTTGAAAACTGGTTTTGGATGTGTCTGGCTTTCTGTTTTCTTGTTTTTTAGCATTAATCTTTTAAAGTTACCCCATGGCAATCCCAGTCTGTACCACACCTTTAAAATTATTTCAAAGCCCCTTTGAAACTTTATTTTATTCAAATTTATAATCATCTCCTCACCTACCTTGGGCTTGAAGGCTACTTTCATGATACTTATTTGATCCTTTCTGAGTTTCAAGTATTTGTCTATAGGAGTAGATAAAGTAATTAAGTTGAGCACTTACCCATGGCCAAAAGCTAGCCTCAGCCCCTTGCAAGCGTGAGCTGATCACCATAGCCCTTCTGTTTTTCCCATGTTAAGTGGAGAAACAGACTTAGAGAGGGGTGTGGCAGTCAGGAGCTGTGAAGGGCATGGCAGTTTACCTGACTGACCAGCAGCCACTTAGCCTGCTTCAGTTTGGGATTGGGGGGGGCAGTATTTGTTGGAAGAACACGGGGGTCCCTGAGCCAGGACAGGGCTGAGCATACTGCAGCAACTGCAGAGTCAATATTTATGTCATATCTATAAACCCAGTGACACTGAGGGTCCCCAGGTTGTCTAGACTGCCTGATCTTTGCTTTGAGGAGACACTCTCCTGTGGGCTATGTGTACAAACTTGGAAATAGAGTCTCAGAGCCAATTTAGTTGAAGAAATGCTAGAGAGAACTGTCTCAGCAACTGTATTTGTTACTTTTTATCATTACTGTGACCAGATACCTGGTAGAAAAACAAGTTAAAGGTTTCAGACCATGATCTCTCGACCCTGTGTGCTTGGGCAGAAGCATGTGGCAGAAACACACATGTGCACACACAGAGGAGGAAGGAAGGATGAAAGGGTGGAGAGAATACCTATCAGGGAAGAGATAAGATACCTTCAGTGTCCTATTCCTAGTGACTCACTTCTTCCAGCAAAGTCCTGCTTCCTGAACTGCCAGGACCAGCTGGGGACCAAGCGTTCAAAACAAGATCCTA